CCTTTTAAGGCCTTTTATGTCACTAGCTAGTAATTATAATGGCACACTTTAATGGATTATTAGATTAAATGCATGTAAATATAAGTTGTTACGCTGTAACTCTTAATAATGTCATAGTAAGATATGTATGTCAATGCTTAGTTTTATTATCAAAGCTCTGTAGCATTCATTTTGGCGGGCAAAACATATAGTCCAATGCTAAATGTTAAATGCTAGAAGCCTGATGTATCATACTTGATATTCAGATCTGAATATGATTTTTCAAAATAATAATGTATATATGGATTATCAAAGTTACTTCAGTTGAGAAAGTGTTAACCTTGAAATAATAATAATATAAAAGTTATCTTTACATTTACTTTATAAAAATCATTAAAGATTCCATCAGAAAAACACGTGTACCACAAACAGAAGGTGGACGTTTTTAGAATTGTACTAAAAGGCCTTTTACTTGATTAAAAAGTAAAAACTTTCAATCAATGGCAGAAAGCATGTAGCAGATTTTTCAGCAAAGTTTCTATAATGCTGATCATTCAGAGGCCTTAGAAATGATTTTATCAAATATGATACAGTAGGCTTTGTAGGGTTCCATCAACAATAACCACATGTATGGATTTCCAGCTCCTGAAGATGTTCTGATATGATCTGCTCATGATGTGAAGTACACATTTTATTTATATATTTGATTTTTGTAGATTGTAGGATCCGAGGTGGAGTTGAGGGAATCCATATAATTCACAACAGGAACGGCAGGTCGACGGGACGGGCGTTTATTGAGCTGGAGCACGAGCAGGACGTTTGCAAAGCATTGGATCTGCACAAGCATTACCTGGGACAGCGCTTTGTTGAAGGTAAGCACTATTTTTGTGTTTATCACCTGCCAAAGTTTTTCACAGAGCTCATTTTTAGTGAACACTGCTGTCATGTGTTTCAGTGTTTGAGGTAACAAGCAAAGATGCTGAAGCCATATTAAAGGCTACACAGCCGGTTACAGAGTCAGATGAAGTGGTGCGACTCAGAGGGCTTCCCTTCAGCTGCACGGAGAAAGACATCATTCAGTTTTTCTTTGGTGAGATCCTTAAAAAGGTGACATTTGAATGGCATTGCACTGATAAAAGCCATGTGCTTCATTTGTGTTAGGGATGCACGATTATGACAAAAATCATAATTGTCGATTATTCCCTTGAAATTGTAATTACGATTATCACAATTTACATTAAATTGTTTATACCATTGTTTGATGCAACTGAATGCCGTATTTTTATATGAAAATAAACAAGCTGAAAACACTAACTGAACTTTTAGTGCTTTTCTATAGTATTAAGCCTCAAATGTCAACTATACATCGGATTTGTTTCTTCTTTAAATTATAAAAAAAGTAAAAATATGAATGTTTATAATGTTATACTAAAACTAAAACTAAAACAATGGAAAAACCCTTAAGATAACATGTAGAAGGAAAAAAACGCATCGTAAGCACGCAGAATAACATAAGTGGACTTTGAACGATTAATTGCCGCTTTGAACGATTACGTAATTGTGGCATCCATAATTGTAATCGCGATTAGAAATTCGATTAATTGTGCAGCCCTAATTTGTGTGTTTTAAAATTCTCGAAACAGGGTTGGAGATTGTGGAAGATGGAGTTACAATAGTCCTGGACAGGAGAGGAAGAAACTCAGGCGATGCCTTCGTGCAGTTTGCCACTAAGGAAATTGCTGAAAAGGCCCTAAAGAAAGACAGAGAAGTCATGGGAAACAGGTTGGTATTTCATCAAGTAATACTTGACACAAAATAATTGTTTTTGTTTTTTTGGGAACGTGTTTTTTTATGACTTTCACGATAACATTTCACGTCTTTAAATCCATTCATTATTTGTAGTGCACAGCCACCCAGTAATCGCAATGAGCTTTGTGCTTTGTTGCTTTTAATAACACCGCTCAGCTTTCAAATTCTGTCAGTTTTATCACGAAATACAAATTATAAATGTTTTTCCTCTTTATTGCAATTTATAGCACAATATAAACAGAAAGGAACATCAGAAGGAATGGAAGAAAAAAACAGTATAATTTAATGAAACTAATGTCTCATTGTAATGAAAAGATGATTGAATCAAATGCTGCTTAAACTGAGGCGAATACAGCGATCTGTAACGCCACATTAAAGAGTGTGTGAAAAACACATTATTTCAAGACACATTGTTTGTATTTTGCTATAAAACTGACAGAATTTGAAAGCTGAGACTGTTTTATATTAAAAGTACCAAAAACACAAAGCTTATTGCTATTATTGGGTGGCTGGCACACTACAAATAATGAATGGATTCAAAGACTTGAAATATTATTTCCAAGCATACTGTCCCTGCGAGTATATGACACATGGAATAATTTCTGCTAATAATCCCACATATATTCAAATCAGTTGCCAGGCTACCGGAATTTCTCCCGATGCTCCCAATCCGGGCCATTTGCATGCGCATTATAGGCCATACTCTCAAAATATTATAACTTTAATTCTTAATTCTCGTAATTTTGACTTTATTCTCCAAGTATTTTGACTTTATTTTTGTATTGCTATGACTTTATTCTTGTAATTTTGACTTTATTCTCAAAGTATTACTTTATTCTTGTACTCTTTTTTTATTTACGAACGCTGTTGTAGTTTTTCGTTTGAAACCACCGTTTTTATTTTTTTAAGGCACTTCCATAATGCCTTTCATCGTGTGTTGTTTCAGACTTGGGAAAACATTTACGTGCTTATTTTATTGCAATTCATCTATTTGCGTGTATAGATTTCAGTTACATTACATATCTTTAAAGGCTGTTTTCTCAAAATAATTTTTTCCATTCACATTTCTCCACTTCAGTAGCACTTACACCAAACTTTAGTTTTATTCCCTTCTGTATTCTGAAGCTTCTTTACAGAGGTGTTTTTTCATATATCATGTGCCTGATTTTATACATTTAACATTTTATTATTAATTAGATAATGGATCACTTGCATATTTAAGCGTACCATTTCACAAAAAGCCTATACTAAAAATGTTTGCAATTCTTAATGTAAGTCAATCAACTAGGGAATTATGGTGGTATCTCTTAGTTATTTTAGTTACATCACATGGGGTGTCTTGCCCAAAAGAAATCCCAAAAGATTTCAAATGAAATATGTACTCATTTCAGATCTGTGTTCATAAAGGTTTTTTCCCCCTCATATGCAGGTATATAGAGGTTTTCCCCAGCAGGAAAAATGAGATCCACGTCCAGTATGGAAGAGGGCGAAATGAGACGTCAGCTTTCACACCAGGAGCTGAGGACACGCCACGCACAATGAAAACAGGTGTTTATTACAGCGTTCCTTTACAACCAGGCTTGAAATATTAATACATATGTTGTATACTGTGTGCAGTCCTGAACATCTGTATTTTTATGGACAGCAAACAGTAGCTCTATATCAACAACAGAGAACCTCATTCACATGAGAGGTCTGCCATATGAAGCCACAGGAGAGGACATTGTAAAGGTAAAGTTTTATGTTGAATTTATCCTATTTAAGATGCAGCATGATTTTTGATTATTTGTGTGCTTAGCTGTCAATGAGGTAGTCAAGAGGACTGGAATAACTCCTTAATAAGACCTCAATTGATCTTGCCCGGTATATAATCTTCACTGAATGACTGAGGTGTCATTTCTGTTCCAGTTTTTCACTCCCATCAGACTGGTGAAGGTTCTTGTAGAGTATGGTCCAGACGGACAACCCACCGGTGAGGCAGATGCCTACTTCAGAACACATCAAGATGCCGTTTTAGCCATGTCCAAAGACAGAGAGTATATAAGTAAGCAATATGTGTTCATCTGAAATAACCCAAATGTGGTCCAAAATGTTAAAGGGGTCATATGATGCTGCTAAAAAGAACATTATTTTGTGTATTTGGTGTAATGAAATGTGTTTATGCGGTTTAAGGTAAAAAAAAAAACATTATTTTCCACATACTGTACATTATTGTTTCTCCTTTATGCCTCGCCTTTCTGAAACGCGTAGATTTTTACAAAGCTCATCGGTCTGAAAAGCGAGGTGTGCTCTGATTGGCCAGCTATCCAGTGCGTTGTGATTGGCCGAATACCTCAAGTGTGTGACGGAAATGTCACAACGCCCCTTACCATATTGTGATAACCCATTATAAACGAGGCATTTGTTCAGCGAGGATAAAAGTTACGCCTTCTTTCTTTGCTTGAACATTTGGGCGGTGTTATGCAAATCTTCCCACATTGTGACGTAGACGTGGGGGCGTGTTAGAACGAGCCATTTTAGGTAGGTGTGGTTGACTCTTAACTTTTATAAAGAATATCTCTTTGGATTTGAGACTTTAGTCTTTGCAACTTTACAGATCTTCTTTATGCACCAAGAGCTTGTAACACTCCAAAGAGAAAAGAAAAATTGAAATAGCGTCATATGACCCCTTTAAATACAAACATGATGATTAATCTAGCTTTTTTGTTTTTGTTTTTTTTCCCCCGTTGTCCAGTGAAGCGATATATTGAGTTGTTCCTGAATTCATCAGCATCAAGGGAGGAACAATAAGTTGAAAGTAAACTATTTAAACTGTCTTTGCAGCCCAGTCTATTTAATGAAAGTAATTCAGTGTATATTACAAGAATACATAGAACCAACATTAAAAGACAACTTTACAAATATCGCCTGTTTTGTGTTCTTTTTGGATATTCATTTCTGATTTCAGATCAACGCAATGTTAACAAAACAGTCATATGTAGAGGAAGTGTGCAAAGTTTATAAAAAAGTAACTATTGCATTGCTTTACTTGTAACTTTGGGAAAGCCTAGATACGTATACAGATAGAAATAAGTGCTGTTTATCCCTGTAGCACCCAGACATGCCAAACAATTCCCGTCTTCCACCAAGCTTTAATTCTGCCATAAATGTTTGCTCATGCATGTATAAAATGACTTAAACTGAGAAATCAAAATTAAAATAAAATTTTATTGTTCAGCTAATAAGAATAAAATACATTACACAGGCATAAAACTACCCTTTTATCTCTTTACATACTTTCAGTGTCGAGTTATTATGGTCTTCTCTGTGACAAGCTCCATAATATGCAGTTTGTCTGAACTGTTATCTTTTTTTGCACAATTTATGAATTTTGGACTCAAAAGTTTAAAATGTTAGTGTATGTGCCTTGTTTAGTGCCATAGTTTTCAAAAAGCTGACACTATCCTGTCTACAATCCATCATAAGTCTTTTTTTAAAATATATTATTAATATGTGACTTATGTTATTGTATCATCCCGCTTGCAATATTGAATGGCACGGATACAATTCAAGTACTAGAACCTCATAAATCCACTTGGTGGACAGCTTCACTCATCCTCAAGAATTATATGAAATCACGAAAATCTTTAAAGCATTTCCAACAAAGAGCTTGTAAAAATCATCCCTTTTTGGAAAATGTTATATACTAACAAAATAACAGATATGTTGCTAAACTGAGATGCCCGATACTGATTGATGATCTAAAATGTGATGTGTAATTTTTCATGGATAACCCGTTGAAGCTACTGCCAGAACAGTCTGTGCTCAGAGATGAGCGCCCCCTCAGGATGGGGAGGACGCGTACTGCTGCATTAACTGAGAATAGCAGACGTCACACACGTGTTCAGGGTTGATGGAGGAGGGCAGAGGGAGTTCATTTGCCATGCAGTTCTCACAGAACACGCCACTGCAGTTCTTGCATTGCCTCTGAAATGGTTAAAAAGACAGTCTATACACACCTCTAATATACTTGTAAAAGCGTTCTACTCCATAGTTCTATTGCTAAAGATCATGTTCCATAAAATGTAAATGTTAGCAACAGTGCTTAATATGTATCATACTGTATGCTATACTTTAGTCACTGAGGAAAAACGTGTGATCATAAGCAAGAGTATATAGAGTACCATTCAAAGTTTTTGTATTTGTAATGTATGTGCATATATTTGATTAAAAATAAATGTAAACTTGTCAATTTAAATATATTTTAAAGTGTAAGTTATTCCATTACTCCAGTCTTCAGTGTCACATGATCCTTCAGAAATCATTCTAATATGCTGATTTGGTGCTCAAGAAACATTTATTATTTTTTATCAGTGTTGAAAACAGTTGGAAACTGTTACAATTTTTCAGGATTTTTTGATGAACAAAGTTAATAAGAACAGCATTTATTCGAAACAATCGTTTGTAACATTATAAATGTAACAAACCTCAAACTTTTGAACGGTTGTGTAGTTTAATAATTTAAAAAGCAGTGATTTGTTTACGGAGGATTTAGTTTTATTGTTGCTTAAATGTTGGATGGCTTTGCTTTGGTACCTTGGGTGTAGTCAGAGAGTCTTGGTTTTCACACATTGGGCAGATGGAAGGGACAACGTCTTTACAAAGAGACTGGTCCTATCAAGTAAGAGAGAAATTTATGAATATAAATAAGAAATGATTGCAGGGAACCTCTCGGATTAAAAAAATAATAATTAGTGATTAAATGTAGAGTACCTGTTCATCTTCATGTGACAGCGTCCTGAGAAAAAGACAGTTTTAGTTTAATTTTAATGACACTGCAGTAGATAAATAGAGTTGTATGTAACTGGTCCAGCATTTAAGATAGACTTACAAACTGGAACTTAGACTTGACTTTTCCTCAAGTGCAGTACGCAATGTACCGTTTTCTTTTTTGACAGACTCTAACTCCTATATAAAAACACAATCCTGAATTTCAGAGAACAGCACACTCTACATATAGAGATAGCAACTGAATGACACTAAAGTGGAAAGCAGGTCTCACCCTTCTAATGTCCTCCACATGCTGTCTCATGTCTCTTTGAGGGGGCGTTTTTCCTAAAAGAGCTTCAGACATGTGTCCTCCAGGATGCGGCTCTCTCCATTTCCTGAGCTCTTGTTCCAAAAGCCATCTATCATATCAAGAAAGACGAGGGCTTTACAACATATCACTTTCATTAAACTGTTTGTCATTTTCACAATGTGACTGTGAAATCATCTGATTCAATCACCATGACAACTAACTTTTGTGCTTTATTCAGGGTTCAAAAAAGCCATGCTAAAGATGTGATAAGATCAGTGACAAAGTTTAGACTACATTTATTTTTATTAATTTATGTTAATCACATTTGTTATAACTGACCTGTAAAATGTACAATAACGTTATGTTAGTTACACAATTTTTTTAAAGCATTTACTAATCTAGCTAAATCTAATAATTTATAATATTAATATATTTTTATATAATTTCTATAATTTTTATATAAATATATTCAGTAAAACAATAATATTGTGAAATATTTTTTCCAAGTTAAAACAACCTGTATTATATTTCCATTTTATGTATTTTAAAATGTTATTTATTCCTGTGATGGCAAAGCTGAATTTTCAGCAATCATTACTCCAGTCTTCAGTGTCACATGATCCTTCAGAAATCATTCTAATATGCTGATTTGCTGCTCAAGAAACATTTCTTATTATTATTAGTGTTGAAACCATAAGACATTATTTTTCAGGATTCTTTGATGAATTGAAAATTCTAAAGAACAGCATTTATTTAAAGGGGTCATATGATGCTGCTAAAAAGAACATTATTTTGTGTATTTGGTGTAATGAAATGTGTTTATGCAGTTTAAGGTTACGTTTGGGCGGCGTTATGCAAATCTTCTCACATCGTGACGTAGACATGTGGGGTGTGTTAGAACGAGCCGTTTTAGGTAGGTGTGGTTGACACTTTACTTTTATAAAGAATATCTCTTTGGATTTGAGACTTTAGTCTTTGCAACTTTACAGATCTTCTTTATGCACCAAGAGCTTGTAACACTCCAAAGAGAAAGGAAAAATTGAAATCGCATCATATGACCCCTTTAAAACAATTTTTTTGTAAACAATTTTGACAAAATGGAATCAAATTTAATGCATCCCTGCTGAATAAAAGTATTAATTTCTTTTTTTTAAATTACTTACTGATCCCAAACTTTTGAACAGTAGTGTATATGCACACTAATATTAACCTGGATGATTCATTGTTAGTTCATGATGCTTAATGCCGAATTAACTAATTAAAAACTGTATCTTTCTATAAAATGTTACCACTAAATAACAATATATGTATAACCTCTGCTTCACTGAAACAAAATATATTGGTTGACTAGTAGACAACAGTAAGTAAATCTCAGTACCTCTGTCTCCGTAACTGCTCCACCTCGTCCTGCAGACTCTCAATCTTGTCTCCAAACTCCTGCTTGAAGAGTCGGTTGGCCTCATCAGCCAGGTCCCGCTCTCGCTCCGCCTTCTTACATCTGAATTTGGGCCACATTAACTTAATGAGGTGAAATGAAAACTAAAAGCCATGGGAAATGAAGATGAATCGAATAATAAAAGCATAAAGAAGAACAAAGGGAGGAACTTAAAAGACAACGAGAGGACAGGAGGAAGCATGTGGCTAGAGCAGAAACTGTGAAAGCTCAAGAAGGCAAAGTAGTCTGACAAGTGTCTGATTTTTTTTTTTTTATTAAGCTATGTTTGTACTACATTTCACATCTAAATTATGTCTACATACACTTTAGTCCGTTCACAATTTTTGCAGAATCTGTAAAGCTTGGTGTCACAAATATCTTTCCAAAGCTTTGACATTTGGCCTCGACTACCACTGCATCAAATTCAGATTTCAGTTAAGTTTACAATAAGCACGCAATCTTGCACTCAACATCATTTCTTGCAAAAAAGCTAACATAACCTCCTGAATATGCCTGAAATAAACACACTCAGTTTGTTTGTTAGCTTGGGCATCCATCAAAGCACTCAACATCATGAAACTTAAGCCGGTTGGTCAAATATTCATGTCCAAGAATTTTGAGAGATCAACCAAAATTAACTGAATAATATGGTGTTGCATACTTATATATAGAGTATAAAATGATTGTACATTTTTGTTAGGAATGTCTCCCCGTGCTGTACTGAACTTGGTTATGGTTTTTATAATGCACCAACTTTGAGAAGTATCCTGCTAGCCTCTTTTTTCAGTATTGAGAAGTAAAGATATAAGAGAGATGCATTTCCATTACTTAAAAATGTAAATGTCTGCCATCTTAGTTCTAAGACAGGCCAAAACAGCTGCATTTTACTTTGACTAAAACATAGAGAGGGAGACTAGAGACAGGAGCACTGGATCAGGCGTACAATATTGAAAGATGAGGCTGAGGGGCAACACAGAAGCAAGATCTGTAGTTTTCAGTCCGGTTTAAAGACGAAATAACGGCAATGGATCTGAAACTCAGTAATAAATACCCTACTCATCTATGTTATGCAAAATCAAACTGAAGATTTTTTTTTTAAATTTAGGTTTTTTTTTGGAAACTATCCAGTGTTTGCGATCATTTTATTGCTGCCTCTGAAGGAGTTTTCCTGCAGCTGTGTTCAAGTTCCGTGCCTCTTTAGCCATGTCTTTCTCACTGCTCAGGAAAAATGAGTAGAAACACAAAAGAATGAGCATGTGAAAAATGTCAAATGAACAGGTAAAAGCAAAGAAGTGTTTGAGAGAACACAGAGACAGAGAGCAGAAGTTATTGTAGAAACAGAAAATCTGCTGCCTCCCACAGGCTGGTAACAGAACTGAAACAGAAAAGAGTGGACTTGTCTTGTTTGTGCACTATATATGTGACCTGCATTCTGTCTGTGTTATGATCATTCACTGATCAAGGAAATCTGTCCGTCCTAAACAATAACCTTCCTTGGAAAATTACAGTTATATACGGTGCGAAGTTCAAAAGTTCACAGTGATTCAAAATCTAATTTTTCATTTGCTTTAAAAATGATATAAAGCTTTACGGTTGTATAATGCTTTAAAGGTTCAATTTGTTAACTTTAAAAATTGCTTTAATCTATAAAAAAATTAACTAACTTTTTAAAGCATTTATTAATATAAGTCAATATTAATTGCTAAAATTTGTGTGTGTGTATGTGTATGTGTGTGTGTGTATATATATATATATATA